CATTTATTCATTTACCAGTTTCTACTTATTTTAAATAAAATATTCTAGGCTTGCGAGTCACGGAGAGCTAAACTATTTAGTCAAAATCAAGATTCTGAAAATGCGGGTGGTAGAAATCGAGCCACTCCGCCTAGATTGAATAAAGTTCGTCAGGTATGTTGACTTTGTCTAATTTTATCAATGTTATTCAAATGCTTCATCGATGTTGCACAATTTTAGCAACACAGTCTACGTGCTATAACACGAATAAATGAGATGGGACCTTCTTCTGTGATATCTCGATCTGAACGTTCTCCGTCATCAAGGTAAGTCAAGTTTCTCTAGACTTGCTGCGTTATAGAAGTCATCATTAGTGTTATTGTACTTCAGGAAACAAAAAGTCTATTCTGATTCGAAGCAAACTATAGGATTAAGTGTAAACAACATTCGTAACAATGCTATACAAGCAGTGACCCCATCTACTACCTCCTCCTCTTCTACGCCGTCTGTTTCCACTTGTCAGGCATCATCTTCTAGTTCAAACCGTAGTCAATGCGATTCGAAGGAATTCTCTTCTGTGTACAGTAAGTTCCTTATACTCTTTCATCTTATCCACATCCGTTTTTTGAAAGCTTCAACTACATGTTATCTTTCACAACCAATTTATTTAGAAGACCTATTTTTATGCGTTAAGTCATTCGCCTTAGTGGAGGACGCTATTGGCTCCTATAATTGGAGTAGTGCCAAAAAGATTCTTGGTTTGTACACCTTTGCAGAACTGAGCTTATGTTGAGTCTCAATAATGATGATTTTCAGAACTTGCTCCTCCGTGGATGGCTGATTTACCCATGGCATTGCACATGCGTGCACGAATAGCTTTTGAGCTAACGGAATATGCTTGTGCAAGAGATATCCTACAGAAATTGAGGAAGATGTATCCACAACGTGTGGAGGTTGTTATAATTTCTCATTTCTCTTTCTTGCCTTCCCGCTCGTACGCCATAGTCAAGCAGCGGCGTTTCATTATTCAAGTTGGATATTGTAGGGGATGGAGCTGCTCTCGACAGCTTTATGGCATCTACAAGATGCTCATGAACTGTCATCCCTAGCTCAACAATTAACAGTTGAAGCACGATCGAGACCGCAAACATGGTGCGTGGCAGGGAACTGCTTTTCGCTCCAAAGACAGGTACTTGTATGGAAACTTTAAAATCTCGCCTTATTTCCAAGTTTTTCTAACAGCATGCAAAAGCCGTCGACTGTATGGAACGTGCTATTCAGCTGGATCGCTACTTTGCCTATGCTTATACACTGCTAGGTCATGAACTCATCTTCCAAGAAGAGTACGATCGCGCTGCTAACGCATTTAGGTAGTAATTATGTACTTCTTAAGTGATAGGACCTCAACTTAATCGGTCAGTTTAGACGAGCATTAGAGATCTCACCTAAGGATTATCGCGCGTGGCATGGTCTTGGCTTAGTTCATTTACGCAAGGAGCAAATGGGATTGGCTCAGGTTTTTTCATTCGTTGTTAAAGAAGCCAGTGAACAAGAAGATTCTCTACTCATCTGTTGCAGGTCAACATTTCAAAAGCTGTTACCATAAATCCTACAAATCGAGCTATGCTGTGCCAGTTGGCACAGATTGAACAAGCCTTGAATCGTCCCGAACGAGCAATGCGCCTGACAGACAGAGTGAGTTTTGCGCTATCTTAGCGTATCTTGAGCTTTCCAGTAAATCTGGAGTTGTGTCAATTTTTCAGTTCTGCGTAGATTCCTATCGCTTGGTAACAGCAGATGAACATTAGTGAGCGGAGATCTTGTATTCTCCTGAAAATCGGTGTAGCGGGGTTATCTGACATGCTAGTCACAAAAATCATATCCATTTACTATAGCAGGGACTGTGAAGACACGGTGGATAGAATATAGTTGGCCAAATTTTCGAAATTCCAGCAACTCTACCTAAGAGGGTCGTTAGACATGCTGACCACAAAAATTAGGATATGGGTTTTTAAACTAACTAGAGTTCATTCGAGCACAGCGAGACGAAGATCGATTCTGATTTAGGGCTTATGCTTAATATGAGAAATTTTTAAGTCTTAAAGCCTTTTCGATTCTACAATACGAATTAATGATGCGAAGTGAGGACATTCGTAATTAGCGCATCAAATTAGCCCTCTGGTGAAGGTTAAAACTAGCCCCTGTCGTTTACAAACCAATTCCATGCTCTGGGTCTCCTTTGATGGATGTGATTTTCGTGGTTCAGCATATCGAACAACCTTTTTCCCCGCCTCCTCTCCCCTCAAGGAAAGAAGAGGAGCTAGTCAAATGGCCAGTGATTTCCTTTCAAATGTTATTTTTATAAGGTCGTGTTTTCGATTACTATCTGTTCCTGCCCTGTAATCGCAGTATCGGGCCACAAAAGCGAAGCAACTATCCAAGAACACAGAGTCCAATTAGGCGCTATCAATGTCAAGTTCCTCAGTAGAAAACATCGACAGGCCAGCACATCCCCAAACGACGAGTGGATATAGCCTGCATACAGGAAGCGAAATGGAAAGAGCGGGATCGATGGATACAAGCCTCTATGGCATGAGCATAGTAGAGTTGGTATAGCTGTCTCAGAAAGTCTGAGAAGCAAAATGGGATTGACCGACTAATTGATTCATGAACCTAAAGATTATCATTGAAAGAAAATCCCTGGAATGTTACTGCTTATGCACCTCATGCTGGATTTAAGGAAAAATAAAAGTATATGTTCTGGCAGGAGCTTGAATATTATTCACATCACCACCACAAAGTTACTCATATTTGGAGGCGACCTCAACGGCCTTATGAGGAAAAACGATGTTGCAGGAAATTATTATGGGAACCACGGATACGGGACGGCACGAAGAAGGCGAAGACATATTTGAATTCACACGCCAGCGTTAGTGAGCATGAGCTACGTCCAGGAGGTGAACGTGATGAACACTGATTACGTAAAGTAAAGTCTATGGAACACATTGAATAATGGATGGTGCGTCACGTGACCCAAGAGTCGCGGAGTCATCCTAGGTGTAAGCTGTTTACCTCAGCATGAGACACTACTTCTAGGCCTTATAATTCATTAGCCAACCAAAGCTAACTATTGTCAAGTACGAATCAAATTCTAGGAGTTGAAAGAAAACCCTCTAGCTAAGGAAGCATTGGTAAGTACTCTACTAGCCCCATTTGAGATACTAGAGCAACGTTCAGCCTAGCTTAGGGTCTAT